GAAGCCTGAGAGAAGCACCACTGTAATTTATTTCTATCTAAATTACTCTAATTTGGGTAAGGAGGCTGAAGTGCACAGATTTCCCATAAAACTAGCTCATTTTGATGAAAACTGGCCTATCTCTTGATGCAGGATATTAGAGTAACAGGGAATAAACACATATACACACATATACATTCCTTCAATTTTGTATTCTGAATCAAAAATTGCTTTTTGTTTTTCTCAATGATTCAGATGTTAATACTATGCTCTGCAATGAATGTCACTAGCATAATGTGAATATGAAATAATTAATATTATTTATTAACTTTTTAGAGTAATATTAATATTTCCTTTCTTAAAATAAAAAATGAACTAAAAATTCTTTAACAGCTGTTTGAAGCATATTTGGAATCAGATTGGACCTGTAAACAATAAAATGCCAAAGTATTCTTTACATCTGCAGCACTGTCAGTGTTTTACAAGCTGATCACTTATTTTGGAAGTAGACTACATTATGAACTGATTTCTCCTGAAAAACTATCTTAATATAAAACTTTCTCAAATATTCCTTTTTCTCAACCTCTTCTCCTGTTAGCTGTTATTGTATTTGAAATCTGTAATTTAAAATAACTGCAGAAAAAACTGGCGTGTCATTTGGAATAGCATCTTACAAGCAAAATAGCCACTTAGACTTATTGTTTGTCAGCTATGGAAGTAAATAAAAATATGAAACTGAATTTATTCAACAGGAATTTGTGGAAAATGTTTAAACATTATTTATAGATTGAAAAACTATTGAACAGGCATCTACAAAAATGAATAAGCTGTGTAAGACACTGAGAGTCACAAAACTAAAACTACCTCTCATAAAACTTATACTCTAGTTTGAAAAATAAGACACAGATATCCAAAAATTACAATATAAATTATAAAGTAAAAATAAAAATATATTAATATAAAGCATGTCTAAGATAAAGATGCAGTTAAATGTCCAATGAACAGCACAGATAATAAATTTTAAAACCTTAGGAAAGGGTGAGGAGGGTAGGAATTAGAATGATTCATGAAGGTTTAGTAGGCATCTCATTTGCCAGGATCATAACAGTAATGATGATGCAGCATGATATGCTAGAGTCACCCTTTTCTGATTTGTGAAAGTTGATTACCAGCAACTCTTTCTAACAACATCCTCAGTGATGTTATGTCAACAGCATAAAAATGTCCACATTGGGAGTATTTACACCAAAGAAATTGGCAACCCCTACACATTATGGCTTTCTTCCTCAGGAAAAAAAAACACACAGATAGACATTTAACAGAACACCATGATATGTAAGGAACACTATCAAAATTTAGTTCAAATATTCATTTAATTTTTATTTAAAACCCTTTTTTTTTTTTTTTTGCCGGTGAGAAAACTGAGGCCAAAGTGTTTAAATTACTTGAGTAAGTCACACTGAAAGTAAATGACAGCTCATGATCTGCACTTATCTGACTGTAGAATAATGAGAAGAGGGTTATCTTAAAGTGCTTTTTAATCAACTATTCTTTTCAGGCAGGTTGTCATTAGTTTTCATCATATAATTCTGGTCCTCTTCTAAATGCTGGAGAAAGCCTAGATACCCATCAATACGGGCTACATGATTTTGCAGGAGCAAACAATCCTGGAATCTGAGTGATTTAAACCAACAAACATGTATTTCTCACTCTTATTATCTTAGTCCCTTAGATTGGCAGCAGCTCTGCCCCATGCCGCACTCATTCAGGGACTAAGACTGACAGAATATCCACATCTATTGTGTTACCATGGCACAGAGAAAGGAGCGTGGCTTACCAATACTGGATCACCAAAGCTTTGGCCCAGACATAAACACCTCCCTTGTGCTTGCTTCCTGCAACACATTACATTGGCCAAAGCAAGCCAAACAGCATAAAGAATTTATATTCCCACAAGGAGAAGTGGAACACTAGTAGTAGCCCTGAAGATCTCTGAGATCTTTTAAGAGAAGACAATGAATAGACTAACATTAGAGGAAGACAAATTTTGCACTTGGCACAAAGGCATTTTGTAACAACTGTGTTCACATAGGGCCGCCTTTCATACCAGCAGTGAGTAACTTGCAAACGAATGTAAAGCTATTCAACCAATTGCTTGTAATTTTTTATACTCCTCTAATTGTATTCAGAAATTTCTTTAGAGTCTCAAAAAAAAAAAATATCCCTGAAGACTGTCACACCTTATGTATCCACCATTAGTAATTAAAGACTTCCTAATGGCAAGAGTAAAAATTTTAGCTATGTGTGCATCATAAAACTATCTATAACTAAAAAGAACTTATATCTCTCAGCAGAAAAAAAGAATCCAAGTTAAAAATGGGCAAATAACCTGAATATAAACTTATCCAAAGAGAACATACAAATGGCCAACATACATAGAAAAAGATGCTCAACTTAATCATCAGATAAATGCAAATTAAAACCATAATGAGTTGTCATCTCACACCTGTCAGAATAGCTATCATTTATAAATCAACACACAATAACTGTTGGAGAGAAAAGGAAACCCTCATGAACTCTTGGTAGGAATGCAGATTGGTGCAGCGACTATAGAAAGCAGTAAGGAATTACCTCAAAAAAATTAAAAATTAAATGGCCTTATGACACAGCAATTCCACTTCTGTAAACATATCCAAACAAACAAGCAAACAAACAAAACTATTTTGAAAGAATATATGCACCCTTATGTTTGTTGCAGTGTTATTTACAATAGCCAAGATTTGAAGCAGCCTAAGCGCCCATCAGTAGATGAGTGGATATAAAAGCTGTAATACATTTACACAATGGAATGCTACTCAGCCATAAAAAGGAAGGAAATCTTGCCTTTTTCAACAGCATGGATGGATCTCAAGAGTATTATGCTAAGTGAAATAAGCCAGTCAGAGAAAGACAAATACCATATGATTTCACTTATTTGTGGTATACAATTAACAAAATAGACTAACAAACACAATAGAAACAGACTCGTAGACACAGGGAACAGACTGACAACTGTCAGAGGGAAAAGGGGTTGAGGGGCTGGGTGAAAAAGGTGAAAAGATTAAGCAAAGAAAAAAATTCTCATAGACATGCAATAGTAGGATGATTACCAGAGGGGAAGGGGGTTTGGGGGAAATAGAAGAGTATAAAGGGTGGATAAATGGTGATGGAAGGAGATTTTCCTTGGGAGACAAACACACAATACAATATACAGATGATATATATTAGAATTGTACACCTGAAACCTATGTAATTTTATTAACCAGTGACACCCCAATAAAATAAATAAAAATTAACAAAAAAGAAAGCACCAATATTTACTATAAAACTGGTAAAACTGTATTAAAAAATTACACAGAAACATGACCATTTCATAGGTGATGTGTATTTAAACTGTATCTTTAGGAGAAAACTTATTCTCATTCATTTTACTTAGCTCAGTTATCTTTCATGCTCATTTGATTGTCATTGAAGCTGGCCTAAAGCCCAGCCCATCAGAGGGCTGGCTAGGATCTTTCTAAAGTAAAATTCTGCCCTGGGGCTGGGTAGTTTACTCATCTCACTTTCTCTCCTTTTGAATTTATAATAGTGTTGGACTTCCTGGGGTATTATGCAGTAGTGACTCTGAGGTGGTTATTTTATTATTTTTTCCCTTTCTAAGAAACTGCTGGGGAAGGTCAACTTAATCTCTTCCTCTCCTCAACATGACAGATTCTCTACAAATTGAGATTTATAGACTTCAGTGGATGATGGTCTCCATTTTCTTCAAACTAAAATACATCTCCTTCACTGCTGGTCAAATAAGAGCAAAGAAGGATTATCCGTGGTGGGGAAAATTAAAAGCATAATTTCAAAAAGAATGTCATCACAGCCTGACTCTAATACTCAAAGATTTTCCTTACGCTAGACCTATTCAGTCAGAAATTTTGTTTGGTTTGGTTTGGTTTGTTTTGTTTAGTGAGTTGTTGTTTTTTTGTGTGTGCTTTTTTTGTTGTTGCTATTTTTGTTTGTTTAAGTTGATGTTTTTTGAGTGAATAAATCACATTCACTAACATGTCACAGGATGGCCATTGATAGAAATATGGATTGTGCACTAATTCTACTTAATTGTCATTTATAAATATAATTATATAACTTAAAATAATGTTTTATTACTTTATAAATACACAATATTTTTAGAATCATTTATTTTTGGGAAATTTTTAATTAGCAGTGTCTCTCCAAGTTAAATGATAATTTTCAGTGACTATTTGGATGTGTTCTTTTAGCTAAAGCACTTAGACACATAGTATAGACTGTGGGGATTTACAACTGAAACAATAACCCAGTTCACTCTTCCATTTTACCACAGAGAATATTAAGGTTCTAAAAGGTATTTTTTGGTTGGTTGGTTGTCTTTTTACACTAATGGAAGGGAACTTCCTGGGAAGTTTCTGTAAACTAGAAAACATTATTTCAATAGGCAAAAGAAAGGAAAAAACAACAACAACATTATATCATAATTTTAATCACCTCCTAGTTTATGCTTGGAATTTCATGTTTGTGGTTTTTTTTCAGGATATATATCAATAGAATAAATGAAATGTAGATTAACTCTATAGTTTCCAATTTACATAGATAATTCATATATGATTGTTGGGTAGTGACTACCTAGAGGCAAAGAAAGATTTGAGCATTCTGTGATTCATTATGTAATGTCTTCCCTGGTTCAGAGAATGAGAGAAATAACACCCATGCCATCCTTTGCTATGCCCTATATAACTCAAAATAAAAGCAAACAGAATAGATTTGCTGTGAATACTATAGCTTAATTTTGATCATGTATACTGTGCAAAGAGTATATAACACTTAGATTAGCTTTATGTATTCCTTTTTCATGTGAGTACAGTGAAAGATTAGTGTTAAAGGAGTTTAAAAGGCATTTTTGAGAATTAAAACAAGACAAAGTATATCCATGCTTACCTTGTACTGGTTAGATGAAAGATGTATAATGGAAGTGGCTGGTATGCAATGATTTTCTGCAATCTTTGGGGACTACCAAAGAAGGATAATGCTCAGGAACAATTCTGATAGTGTTTCTGAGAGCAGCTAATCAGAGAAGACCCCCTACAATTTGTTCTTGGAAGGTATGCATTTAAAGTTGTATACCAAATAAAAAGAACATTGTAATTTATAGCAGGCGAAGCCCCAAGGAATGATCTTTGAGGATAACTCTGAAGTGTGACTATTTTTTTCTACTCTGTAAGTAATGAGGACACTGAAAATTGTTACAGGGGAAACAAGAAGAATTTACAAAGCATGTGTTATAAAATTGCCTTGGACATAGGGACATTGAAAAGATAATGAATACTTGAAAACCAAGGACACACAAGTTAAGAGAAAAATAACTCAGCCAAACATGTCATCTAATGTATTGTAGGCAATGTTACCAGAAAAATTATCTTACACCCTAAAAAAGTAAAACAAATCTAAGAGTATATAATTTTAATTATTTTTAGATTGACTTTTTGTAGATAAACAAGCAACTATTTATCTTAAAGCCTACATTTCTACGACATGAAGGTTAGTACGATATTATTGACCTATATTGACCTGGAATATGAATCAGAAATCCCAAACTTAAAGTCTAGATTTGTCCCTGACTTTGTGATTTGCAGCAAGTCACATGATGTCTCTCTGGACTTTACCCCTTAAAATGTTGTCTTTGGATTAACTAATCTCTAAAATACACTTGACACCAAAACATATTATGCTGTAATGCAAAGCAGGATAAACACCCACCTAAACACAAACACCACTCGGCAGACACAGCATTTGTGCGAAAGGCACCATCACGGACTGGCAGGTCTAAAGAAGATAGGGAAATTGCTTACTGTTTCTGTTGGCCCAGCTTGAGAGTTCTCAGGCATGCTCCTGATCAGCACTGTGAGGGAGACAAAACTAGATTAGGAAGAGCAAATGGACAAGGGAAGTAGACCCACAGGTTCCACTGAAGTTCTTAATGCAACATAAGAGGCACTCTTATGTTGTCCTAATGTGACACTCCGCTAAGTGATGGAGCCACAAAAATATGACTGCCTTTGCCAATAGAATCACCTGTGAGATTTCTGACCCTGACAATCATCTTCAGATCTGTTTCTTAATCACTGGAACTGAGCTAAACCTTATAAGAGGAGGATAGTGCATCCACTCAGGCTACCAGGAAGAAAAAAATGAGAAGTTATTTCACATGGTTAAAATAATTTTATTCTGGGTGGAAGAAAAGTAACTGACACTAGAAGATGTACATCCAGCCCAGCTGGTGTGGCTCAGTGGTTGAGCATCCACCCATGAACCAAGAGGTCACTGGTTCAATTACTGGTCAAGGCACATGCCTGGGTTATACAAGCTAGATCACCAGTAGGGTATGCAGGAAGCAGCCTGTCGATGTTTTTCTCTCTCCTTGATGATTCCATCTCTTTATCCCTCCTCTTCCTCTCTAAAAAAAAAAATCAATAAACACATATTTTAAAAAGTGTACATACAATGACCAACAGCATTTAGTGATGGATTAAAAGGGTTAAAAAAAAAAAAAGAAAAGAAAAACAGTAAGAGTAATTACTTTTACTTAATTTTGACCATGGCGCTGGAAGATTTCCACATGTGGAATATGAGACTATACATCACCTCTTTTTTTTTTTATGTGTTTGTTGTTTTTTAGTCAATAGATACCATAGAAAAATTAGTATATTTATACATGTGTTTGTTTTTCTAGGCCCAATTCCCAAGAAGACTTAAAAAAGACATAGAAGAACAAAAAGGAAATTTTAAAAACCATTTATCATCTTAGATGTAAGTAAAGATATATTTATGAAAAGAACACTATTAAAACTCAGAGAAAAAAGGGAAAATAATGAAGAATCCAAAATATACTACAAAAAATAAAATAAAATCTTAAGAGAATGGTTGACAAGCATTGAAAATATCTCATAAAATAGACCAAAACATGAAAGATAGAAAAAGAGAAACATAATAATATAATAACAGAGAGAATAGGAAATTTCTGGAATTAGTCTAGGAAATTCAATGTTTATATAGACACCTGGAAAGAAAGGATAGAGGTGAGAGAAGAAAGCATCAAAGAACTAATGCAAGATCATTTATCATAATTAAGGGGCCCCTTGAGTGGGCATAGTAAGTGAAAAAAGATGTATCAGGCCTCAATGTTGTGAAATGTCTGCATTGTACTAAAGAGTAAAACCCCCAAACCTCCAAAAAAGTATCAAATATTATATTAAGTTTATCATATATCAGAATGTCTTGCTTGTCACAGCAACATGGGGAGCCAAAATATAGGAATGACACCTTCCAAATTCCTAGGGAATTTTTCTCCCAACTATTGATTTATGTTTTATGCTATATCAAACCATTCCAAACCCTCAAATCATGTATTTTGGTCACAAATCTACAATTTAGATAAGGTCATCAGGGTAAGCTCTAGATAATTAAGCGTGTTGCTTGACTATTTGAAGAACCCAGTTCCAGGTGATCTAACCCACATGGTTGGTGAGTTGATGCTGGCTATCAATTTCTATCCATAAAGATGGTTTCTATATTCTCATGCTTGATAACTGGGTTCAAAGAACCAAGTGTCCCCCTAAACAAAGAAACAAACAAAACAAAAAAATGTGTATAACCATGTGTACCCTAGTTTTGAAGGTTATATAATATCACTACCATCAAAGTCATAAGTCTGTCCAGATTGAAGGGCAAAGAACAGAGGCCTCACCTTTCTACAAGAGGAGTGTCTATGCCATATTCTAAGAGTATGTGAAATGGAAGATATTGCTTTAGCTATTTTTGGAAAATGCAATCTGCCATATCACCTGGAATGCAATATCCAGAGAAACTATTAATTAAGTGCAAGGGTTAAATGAAAACAGTTTCAGATATGTTAGATGTTAGAATGCTAACCTCTTATGTACTCACTTTTAGGAAGCTTTAGGAGAATGTTCTTTACCAAGACTTATGATCAATTAAAATTCATGTAAACCTGACTTCATGGAGATATGAAAGACTCCCCAGGATGGTGAAGGATGACCTCAGAAATGTAGTTATGTACACCCATTAAAGCCAATTAGCTTAGATTAAAATAGTCAGAATTTCTAGTTGTGATGTCCCTGATACTAAACTTTATGATGCAATATGCTTGATTGCATTTATGGAGATTTAACCTATGAGGAGAGAATTTGAGGTCAAACTAGATGAACCCACACACACAAAAAAAACTAACTAAAAAAAGAAATAAACTAATCAAATTCAAGGAAACAAGGAGTTCTTCAATAAATGAAAAGTTGTCATGGTGTATTACATGACTTACTTGGGAATAGTGTTTATATGAACATGGAATTGTCAACACTAAATACTTAATTGTGCTATAATTCTAACATGAGAATGGGGAGTGTGGACAGAATGTATAGGTGTATATGGATGGGTACTGGGGGGAGATTAAAGAAAACCAATTATCATATATTATAGAATATTAATAGGTGTGTCTAAATGTGTGTGTGTGTGTGTTTTTAAATCAAAAAATGATAAGCATGCAATTGATACTTGAACTTATAAAAAAAAAAGTTGAAAGTGTTGCATATGGGAAATGGGCAACTTGTTTCCAATGAAAATAGGAAATGAAGAAGGGTGACAGTGGAACAAAAAGGACATTCTTTTCATGTCTTATAAAACTATTGTATTATTGAGAAGAAGGAATAGGGAAGCCTACTTTATGATTTGGATAGCACATTGTGGTTTCACTTCCTGCAGTTATGGCCATGTATGTTGTGAGGGTCTCGGAGAGGGAAGGGTAGAAGAACCGCCCATATAGGACAAACACACCACTCCCTGTCTCCTACAGAGGCATACTGGACCTCACCCTGAAGCTCCAGTGTTGTGCCTGGCTTCCCCATGACCCCAGGGCTGGGAGCTGAGGAAGGGGCCTGCACCAAAGATATCCTCATTTATTTCCTTCTGGCTCCATGGCCTTAGAGGAGAGACTCTTCTCTTTAAAAATGACTTTTGATAAATGGGGAAGAAATAACCATCACATCCAGAAAACTAATCAAGCTTCCCAGGAAATATGTATGTAAATAAAATATTGATTAAAAGCTAAAAGGATTTTAATTAGGTTACTTAATTTAATAGTTTAATTTGGCAGAAATAGACAACTTGGACAAGGTTCTTTGTGTAAGCACATTTTAAATCACTAATTAAAATTTCAGATGGCAATCTGAGATTAGAAAAAAGGACCTTCAAAGGCAAGCAAGATGTACATGTATTTTATTTTTAAAACTCAAAGCAATACTAGGATGTTACTTTGGGTTCTCTATCTAAAATAAAGTGAGTTCTTGGACATCTTGTAACCCACTTTGACCCATACACTATCTGTAATTAACTTATATTGAATAGAAAACTTAATTTAGTGGCAAAAATCACATGTATTATATTTTTATTGAAGAATTGAATCCCTTAATTTTAATAGAATAGATCAAATTGGTATTTTAGAGATACAATATTATTACATAGGAAAAATGTACTCTCATGCATGTAAAACTTATAGCAGAATAAAATATGATTTATTCAGCCCAATTCAACTAGTGCATAAACTATGTTGAATTGAGGCATGCAGAGAAGGTTCCCTCTTAGGTAATTACATATAAATGTACTAAGTAGCACACATCAAGGTCAAAGCTAAATCTGTGTTTATATTTAATACGGTAAGGGATACAGAGTGTATCAGTTAAGGATAGTTATTATAAGAACAGAAACCAAAGTCAGCCACATTGCCTCATTTAAAATCTAGGTTTGCCAGTTATTAGTCACATGACCTTGAACAACTTAGATAACACAACTGTGCCTCAGTTTCCACATTTATAAGAATTATAATAATCATACCTAATTTGAGGACTTATGTGCATTTAAAAAGAATACATTTCAAGCACTTAACACATAGGGAATGTAGTTGAATAAACAATAAATGTTAGTTCTATAAATTTAAAAAGCTTTGTAATTAGGTTGGCAGAATTGCAGAAAATTAACTGAAACTCTATCTTTTTAAAGAGAGATGAAGGAAAAAGATGAACATCATTGGTTCTGTCTTGAGATTTATTTGGATCCATATTCCAGCTCCCCCATTCTCTAGTTGTGTGTATCTTGAGAAAGTTACTCAACCTCTCTGTGATTCATTCTCCTCTTGTACAAAAGAGGATAACCACACCTAACTCAGGGTGTTGTTGAAAAGTCAGTAATAAAATTATGTGAAAGCCCTATTCAAAGCCTAACCCAAGAGAAATGTTCAACAATGTTAAGTCACTATCTCTTCCCCTCTGAAATAAATATAAAAGTAAAAGATACATATCTGGTGACCTACCCTATAAAAATTTATTGAAGTGGTGACTCACTAGGTGGTTGCTTCCATTAATTTAAATTCTCTAGGTAGGACTTCAATGGATTTCATAACAGCTACCCAAACACAGGAAAGCCTGCATGTGTCCTGATACAATCAAAGTCTGTCACTCATCCATTGCAGAGGAGACATTGCCCCTGTCCCCCTAACCGCCTCCTGCCACTCTCCTGTGGCCCCTTCCCCGGCTGAATCTCCCATGGCCCTGATCAGCCCAGATCACTGGCCAGGCAGAGGGACCCCACCCTTGCACAAATTCATGCATCAGGTCTCTAATATTTACATAAAAGTCACTGTAGCTTTTGTATAAATCATGGAACAGGGCAGGACATTCACTCTCCCTTATGCAACTTCAGAAAAAGTGTCAAGGGCACCTTCTCCACTTCTTGGTTGTTCATGACCTCAGTCCAGACAGATAACACATTAAGATAAAGAGACTAAAATTCTTAGGGGATGCTGACTTCCAGAGAGGTTCCTCAGTACCTTTC